GGCATCTCGAGTCGGGGCCAGATAGCCATCAGGACTCAGAGGCTCCGCCGCCATTTCAACTTCATCCAGAAAGCCTGTCCTGTGCCTTGACAGGAAATCTTTTAAATTGCCATTTTCACAGTATTCCATGATCACATACAGCTGGCCACTGCAACATCAAGTTCAAAATTCATTTTCGTAACCCGTCAGAAAAAGATTATTCAGTAATACAAATTGTAATCCCTTCTTTAACTCCAACTCGCTCCTGCTCGAATATCTTTTTTATTTTTGCTCACAAGAGACGGGGAAAGTGAATACGATGCGTTTGAATGTGTTCCAACGCTAAGAAACCAAGTTTGCAAACCTCTTTGTTCTCCTTTCCATCTGGCCTTTCTATCTTATTTAAACTCTAATGAAGACTTGTCGAAAATGCATCCCCAAGATTTTTTAAGAGAAAAAGAGAGAACCCCTCTCCATGAACCACATCCCACCGCCCTCCCTTCTTTCCCTCCCTCTTCTTACCTCATCCAATCAAAAAACAAATAAATAAAACTGTCTAACAAGATCCGACAGAAATAGAAAAAAAAGTTGAATTCGAGTACGAATGTACTTTCATAGGCAATTCACAGTCGGAGCATCTACATTATATCAAACAAACGTTGAGGCGAAACACACCTTGACATCTGTTTAGTGACAGCACCAATCAGGCAAAGAACGTTCGGATGAATTCCGATCGCGACCATAACTTTAAGCTCATCAGTCAGTGCTTTCTGATGGTTAACATTGCGACCCTCACGTGGTTCTTTCACTGCCACTTTAAGTACATCAGTGGCAGCTAGCGAGTCGCTCACACGGGATTTGCTGAGCTCACCCAAAAAAACTTTTCCAAATTGACCTCCGCCGAGCACCTGCAGTTAAATACCAATCAACGCACCAAACGTTTCGCTGCAAGCTATTCAGCCCACTCACCAGTCACTAAAACGCCTAAAAGTTCTGAATTTTCAGCTCGCTCCGTCCTGCGTTTTTAGCTCCGTGGAAAACCCGTAAGTATGCTTTCTTGCTCGGCAGAAAACCCCAGAGTATGTTTCCAAAAATTCGAAATTACTGAATTTCGTAATTCTTGTGTTAAAAATTACATATACATGAGTATCGGCAAAATATGTTGTTGGATGGCAAAACAAATAAAATTCTAAAACCGATTTCCAAATAAATTTTTTCTAAAAAAGAAAAAAAAATTCCAAATTTTAAAAAATTTTTTCTATAAAAGAAATGCAGCGCATTTACTCCAAATAAATTTTTTCACACGTTCACTGACTTATGGTTCACAAACTTGTCTTTATTTGAAAAAAAAAACTTCTGAAGTAATGCAAACCAGATTTGGACAAAAGAATCCACGTGACCCAGTTCCAAAAATGATCCTGCCCAATTTTAGTTTTTTACCAAAAAATTGGAAAATACAAATATGTGGTCGAATTGATACAAACCTGTTTAAGGGCGAGCTTTTCCTTATTAATTTCATATTTGCGATCATATGGGAGTTGTTCAATACGTTCATGCAGTGGATGCTTTGGATCCGTTGGCTCCACAAGATATTCCCTGCTCGACTGGCGCATCAGCTGGTTGTAGAGCGCTCTTAGCTGCTCTGCTTGTCGCTTACCTTTGCGACGCTGTTTTGCAAGTACAACGATTGCCACGCAAAGCAGTATCATGATAAGAACAGTTGCAGTACCGAGCATCCACCAGTGTCTCGACGAGCGAACGTAAGCCGGCTCGTCCACGAGCTGAAGCAGAATTTCGATCACCAAGGGGAGACAAGCACATGACGCTGAGAGAGACGAAAATGTAGCTACCTACGTATAGTATGTTTCAACGACTATTCTTATCGGGAGACAATAGAAAAATTTATGCCAAATCTACAACACCTACTGGCAGTTATGTTCATCCGAGTAGTAATTTCTAAGCATTAATTATTCAACGCCGCTGACAACTTTTATCGAAATATTAATAATATCTACTGCAAAAGAGGCTGGAAACGCCGATACAAAACTGGACCTACCTCAAGTCGAGTAGTAAACTCCTGTGAACCAGCGCGATTTTTTGCAACGCATGTATAGAGTGCCTTATCTTCAATAATAATTCGGGGGAATTCAATTTTGTTTGTCAGACTACCGTAACCAACATATTCAAGACCATTTTTGAGCCATCTATACACTGGTTCTGGAACACCGTCAATGGGACAGTCTAGTTCCGCTCTTTCTCCATACTTCGCCTCGTGAGTATACTTCACCATGCGCTCAACGATATAAGGTGCGATGACTTTTTTCACCTGAAACTCATCGTTTAGGAAAGCTGCTCATTCTTACGTTACCACTAAAATTTTGCTATCAACTCAACTTCAGGCTCTAATTTTTCTTCTCGTCTCTTCCTGTTCGCAGTTCATCAGCACAAAACCTAGTCTCGCAAAATTTTAGTTTGACTACAGATACTGATTCCAGCTTACTTCTCCAGCAGTTTTCAGAAAAAAAGCACAGATGTGCTTTCCCCCGACAAAT